CAATATTTTCACTGCTTGAGCCTCAAGAGACTGAGCCGAGCAAATACGAAGTTGTGTAGTCTCCTCAGCGCATTTTTTCGTCGGTGAAAAAATTGGTTCTAGATGTCTAGTCTATGTGTTTTCTGGTTAGTGATATTAGCTTATTTTTCAGCTAACTGTTTCTGGGATTTAGCTTATTTTTGTTTATTTTTTGTCCTAATTCGGCTATTTTTTCTCGGGGAAAAACGGCAGCTCTGCTTGGTAGTGGTAGAAAACAATTAGTGTAAACACAAATTCTTATGCAGATTCATAGCAATAATTATGTCCTATTTCAATGTTTCAATGTGAATGTCAATTTTTTCGATAAGATTCATTAGTTATACTCACCAAACAAAAAGTCAGTTACCCCAGGGTGGCAACCTCAAACGATTCGCGGCATTTTTCTGAAACTAACCGGGGTTAAAATGGAAGATTTCGAAAAGATTGAAAAAATAGGTGAAGGTACCTATGGTGTTGTGTATAAGGGCCGAAACCGTTTAACTGGTCAAATTGTTGCCATGAAAAAGATTAGGTTGGAGTCTGACGATGAAGGAGTACCATCTACAGCAATAAGGTCTGCAAACTAAAATGTGTTTTTCAAATATTTCCTAAAAATTTAAATTTTTTTACAGAGAAATTTCATTACTTAAGGAACTTAAGCACCGTAATATTGTGTGCTTGGAAGACGTACTAATGGAAGAAAACCGTATATACTTGATATTTGAATTTCTATCAATGGACCTTAAAAAGTATATGGACTCACTTCCTCCGGAGAAACACCTCAGTAGTCAACTGGTGAAAAGTTATTTATATCAAATAACGGACGCTATATTGTTTTGTCATCGGCGTCGGGTTCTCCATCGTGATTTAAAGCCGCAAAATCTCTTAATTGACAGAAATGGCATAATCAAAGTAGCTGATTTTGGACTCGGTAGATCTTTCGGTATACCCGTACGCATTTACACCCATGAAATTGTTACACTTTGGTATAGAGCTCCAGAGGTACTATTGGGCTCTCCACGATACTCATGTCCCGTTGACATTTGGTCCATTGGATGTATATTTGCAGAAATGGCTACTAGGAAGCCGCTATTTCAAGGTGATTCGGAAATCGACCAGTTATTTCGAATGTTCAGGTAAATTTTGGATAAAAGCTTCTTAATATTGATACGAAATCTTCAATTATGAGAGATCTATTAACTATTCATGATTTTGATTATCAAACATGATATGAATTATAGTGTGGCCATTAATTGTTTGCAAACCAAAAACCAAAAAGTTCTGCAAGTCTCATCATACTTTATTAGGAAAGGTGCTTGTTATATCCTGAACCCATTAAAAATGAGAAATCAGGGTATAATTGTTTTGTTAAAATGTATGTAACACCACAAAGTATATATATTATTATGTTTGTCCGACTCTCTCTCTATGGTTTCTCAAATCATCAAGCTCAGCAGCGCACAAAAATTGAAATTTGTTCGCGACGATCCCAGATTTTTCCTTTTGAGTGAAGAGTATACTGAAACCTTAAAAGCGTTTGCCACATTCATGCAAACAAAATGTTAGCATTTCGATATTGATTTATGGGAAGAGTATGAAAGTATTGATGCGCATAAAGAATATGATTTCGCGATGGGCATGCACACACACTTGCAATACCTTGCTCTATGTCTGAGCAATTGTGGCCTGTGTGCATAGTAGTAAAGTATGAATTTAGGCACAAGTTTTCATCCAAAAGTATTGGCACAAAAGTTGGGCTGTCGAAAATATATCGATATTTTTGTTTTAAAATATATTTATATCGGGATATTTTTTTTTTGGCGAAATATCTACAATTTTTTTTTCGTTATCGTTACTCAATGCTACTCGTTATCATTTATCAATGAACCAAGCGCAAAGTAAAACAAGTAAGAAAACTCTAGTCGAGAGTGCTCGACTAAATACTACTCTGAACCCAACTAATAAAAATGCCCATTTACTGTGGCTAAAATTTCAATTTCGATGTATTTAAAAATATAAATGAAATACAAGACTCACTTAATAAAATATAAAAGTATTTTTAACCAATAAAAATAAGTTAACATAAGTTGCACCGCTCGGGATTGGAACCCGCGACTTCTCGATCGAGTGTCACGCAGCTACTCACTACGCCACCTCACTTTCGGAAGCCG